TCTCACCAGAGCCGGTCCCACTGTGTGTGAAGTGCCACTGGAATCCAAAGCCACATGGTCATGGTAAAGTTGGCAGTTGGCAAGCCCGAGGGCCTCTGTGGGAGGACACAGTCATGGAGGGGAGCAGTGGACCAGAGAACTGCACCAGCTCATGGTGAGTGTGGGGAACTCAGCCCTCCAGCAGGAGTGGGCGATTGGCCGGGCAACATTTTAGAGTTGGGCAGGATAAGCCTGGAACCAGAACTGCAGCTGGGTTCATTCAGCTGCTCCTAGAGCAGCGCAGATTGGTGAGAACTGCTTGGACCGAGTCCTGTCCTTGTGCGCTATCCAATAGCCAACGCCAAGGTTTCCTTAAAGCTGTCCCTAACCAGCCCTGACCATGCAGCACACACTAACATGGCAAAGACTCCCAGTGGTTAACCAGCTCGGAAAGGGAAGGGCCAGCCTGCTCCGCCCCTGCTTATAGTCCAGTAGTCACCAGCAGATTGGGGAAGGCTGCAATCCCTGGTCAGCATGCTTCAGACTAATTCTAACCAATACAAGAAGTGCCAGAGACCCCATTATCCACTTGTCTGGATGAAACCAGAAACATGACAAGAGGAAGAAAAAAAAGGCAGTTTCCAGTCTCCAGTTTAAGAACTACTGGCCCAGGGGAGGTAAACACAGAAGAGATGGGGAGTTGCACACCTGCAGTTTCTGAAGCAACAGCATCTGACATAAAGAAATATCTTCGTGAAATTATAAAACAACTTAAAACACAATATTAAATATTGTGTTATTACACAATTAATATTGATATTAACAATTAATATTAATATTAACTATTAATATTAATATTAACAATTAATATTAATATTAACAATTAATATTAATACAAGTAAAGGAAAATATAAGAAAAATAAAAGAAATACTAAGCACCTCTCAAGAAGCCACAGATGGAAGAATGGAGGAGCATAAAAAAAAGGAGGGGAACCTTCGATGAATATAAAAAAAATTTAGAATACATGAAACAGATTCAAAGATAGTACCAGGAAATTGAAAACTCCATTGAAAGCTGTCAAACTAGTTGAAAAAACTAAAGATGGACTATCAAAACTTGAAGACAGGTTTGCAACTTGTGATAGCAAAAGGAAAGACTTCTTAAAAATAACAAGGAGCCAGAAGTAACTACAAAGCGTAGAAGATGACAAGAGGATCTATAACTTAAGAATAAAAAATGTAAGTGAATAAGCAGAGGTAAACACAAATGAAATACAAAAGCTAGTTACAGAAAGAAAACTTCCCAAGCATAGGAAAAAGAAATGATACTCAGATATACGAGGCATACAGAATTCCAGCCAGCTATAACCAAAATAGAGCCATACCCAGACATATAATAATCAAGATCCCTGAAATTCAACCAGAACCCCTGAAATTCAACAAGAACAGAATATTAAAAGCTGTCAGAGAAAAGACACAGATCATCTATAAAGGAAAACCCATCAGAATCATGGCAGACTTCTAGACACAAACCATCAAATCAAGAAGAGCTTGGAGTGAAGTATTCTAAGCCCTGAAAGAAAATAACCTCCAAGCCAGACTGATGTACTTTGCAAAAACTATCTCTCAAAATTAATGGAAAAACAAGATGCTTCCCTGACAAAGAACAACTGGGGGAGTTCATGACCACCAATTCAATCCTACAAAAATTACTGAAGGACACTCTGAAGAGAAAAAAGACCATGGTTTCAGGAACAGCAGCAGAGGGGGCTCACAGAATGGGGCAGACAGTGGAATGAAGGGGAAAAGTAGACAACTGACAGCAGAAAAATAGCATGGCAGAGATGAGGCAGAGAAGGTCGGCTGTAATCACTAATATAGATGGCCTCAATACACTAATAAACACAGGCAGAGTGAATCAGGAGACAGGGTCCATCAAGATGCTCTACATAAGAAATATAATTAATCTAAAAGAGAATTTACGGACTAAAAGTTAAAGATGAGAAAATAATGTCCTATGTGACAGGAAACCAGAAAAAAGTGGGGATAGCTCCTCTTTCAGCTGCAGATTGGCTGGAAAGACATGACACTTTTATACAATGGCGAACTACTCAACTATAAGGAAAGAAAACCTTGAGGCTCTTGTAGGTTAATGGATACAACTTGAAATCATGCTCAGCGGTAAGAAGGTTCAGAACCACCTAAGTAAATAGCAGGTTGCTTCCCTAATCTAAAAACTAAAGGAGTTAGTGGAATATAAAATGTATAATGCACCCTGTGAAAATAAAAGGGAGGAATTGTCTAAAAAGGAAAGACAGAGGCCACTGTTAATCTTGAATCATGATTTGAAACCCATATTGTTTTCATCGCTCTGTTTAGTTTGGTTGTATTCTGTTCCACTTTGTCTACTTGTACTAGATTTGATGGCATGGACAGCTATTCCAAAGATAGCAGCATATACTATGGTAACCATTTTTTATTTTCTATTAACTTAATTTGAAGCCCTATATTGCTTTCACTGTCTTGTTTTGACTCATTTTATTTGAATCTGTTATATTTGATAGTATCATGTCTGAGGGTATAGGCAACTACTCTGAAGACAATAAGATTCACTATGATACCCACTCTGGTTTGACTATTATCTTCTTTTGAAGTCCTACAATGTCTCCAATGTTTTGTTTTTATTGATTTTGTTCTGTACTGCCATGTTCAGTTTTATTATGCCTAATGATATGGGCAATTCCATTGAAGATAACAAGAGACATTATGGTAACCATTGTTGACTATCTTGTATTTTGGTTTTAAGTCATGTACTATACCCATCTTTTTGCTTTGACTGACCCCATTTTGTTTTCTCTCATTTGGTTTTATTCACTCCAAAATAAAAAAAATTAAAAATTAAAATTAAAAACAATTTGATAGTTGAACATCTTGTAAATTTATGAATCAGCATTCTGACACACAGATAAAAAACAGAAAACTTGTACTTTGCATTTACAAAAATGCCTTAAAAACTTGAAGTTTATGGATTGTAAGTATTAGATAATAAAAGTATTTTGGCAAATATAAGATCTTTAACATATACATACTCCTGAGCCCAGAAATTCCTAATACAGGAATTTATCCTGACAAAATAATCATGAATGAATGAAAAAATTGAGCCATGAGACTGTTCACAATACTTTACAAAGAGGAAACTAGAAATGTAAATATCCAACAATATTAAGTTGATTAGATAAATCTGTAGTAGTCTCTATCAAAAGTAACTCTAAACATTTAAAAAAATGTCTCGTTAATGGAATGATAAATAATGGTATGAGAAAAAGTCTATCGCATCCTATGGTAAAAAAGTGTATTATTAATGAATATGCCAGTTTTTGTTGAGTGTTAAGAGTCATGTGTGGTTTTTCATCTTATGTTTTTCTTTATTTAGTATATTTTATCTAAGACTTTTATATGACTTATGTAACTATATTTTTAAAATGTCTATTTAAAAATTAACTCTTAACCAGTTTCAACAGGACAAACACTGTATGAGTCTATGCATATAAGGTACCAGGTGTATCTAATCAGAGACAGAAAGTGGCATGGTGGTTGCCAAGGGAAGTGGGGAGGGTAGGACAGGAAGTTACTGTTCACGGCTATAGTGTTCCAGTTTTGCAAGACGAAAAGAGTTCCAGATATAGACAGCAGTACAATGTGAATGTACTTAATGTCACTGCAACATAATCTTAAAAATAACGAAGATGATAAATTTTGGGCTGGGCACAGTGGCATGTATCAGGAGTCCTAGCTACTGGGAAGCTGAGGTAGGCTGCCTGAGCCCAGGAGTTCCAGGTCAGCTGGGGTAACACAGTAATACCCCATTTCAAAAATGAAAAAAAAAAGTGGCAAAATACACTTAATCTTTGTGTTTTGAGAGGGAGTCTTGGTGTCTTGCTTAGGCTGACTGGAACTCCTGGGCTCAAGTGATCCTATCCTACTAACTCAGCCTCCCAAGTAGCTGGGAATACAAATGTGTACCACTGGATCAGGTTATTTTACCACAATTGAAAACATTTTTTAAAAATCACTAAAGCATAAATACAGCTGGACTGACAGATTGTCTGAGGATTTTCAAGTAACAAGAATAAAAGAAGTCTGACTTTGATTTTGGGCCACACGACACAGAGCAACAGAATTCACTGTTTCCACCAGTGCTAGAGTGGTCCAGGGCATGAGGTGGCAGCTAAGAAAGAGTGATGCCTGGTTCCTGGGGTGAACCTGAGAACTCCAAGGCTGTAGGTCAACAGTCTAAGGATGTGCTAGTTTAATCTACTTAACGCTGGGCTTTGTGATACTCACAAAATTTTTAAATTAACTTCAGTATTTAAAAATGGGGTATTTCTACCTAAAAAGTTTTGTTTTTTCCAATTTTCTTGGGGAATAATAAGGCTACTGGCTACTCTATGTTTATAACCACCTCCAGTGAGTAGCAACTATCCATTTAAACAGATCCTATCTCTCCCCAGCTCAGCCCAGCTCTGCATCTACCTAGCCCTGCTGCTCCTGAGCTAGAAGCTTATGATGCAACAGCTGGGGTCAGTGGCCTTCCTGATGGTCCTGTGTCAACACATATGTCTGGGCCTATTCCTGATCTTGACTCAGTCAAAAGGCAGCACTATCCTCAGGCCCATTTCCAGGTGCCATCAAAGTGCAATACCCGGCTCACTCTCCTCTTAAAAATTTAAAAAGGAGACCACATTCTTGAGAAGGAATCAGTGATCACAGTGCCTAAAATCCTGTCCCCGATAAAGGCCAAAATGGGATGCTTTGGATAGAGGTGGCAGGGCTTTTCCTCTGATTGCTGCAGCTGAAAAACAGAGAAATGTTCCCAGTTGATGCCACTATGTCCCTGCTGCAGGGGTGGGAAGATATTTGAAACCCAGGTTATGTATCTAACCAATCACTGCAGAGAAAAGGGAAGGCAATCCTATGGGGTTAAGCAGGACAGGGGAGATGAAGACCAGAACTTTTCTTACCTGCTGTAGGCACACTAACATTATACTGAGGTAAAATAAATAGGAAGGCAGTCTTGGCTGTGACCTGTAAAACAAGGGGAAAAGCTTCAGTTTAACTTCTCAGCCATGTGGAGCCATCTACCACCATAGGTACCCATCCCTTCTACACCTTAGGCAGTTTCCTTTTGGAGAAGAGATTTTACCTAATGCAGAGTTTCTGTTCCATTTTTTTTTTTGTTAATGACACCCCTCCCAATACCTACTCCAAAACAAAACAAAACTTTGGGTCTCAAAGTATTTGATCCTAAAGTATCTGTATTCACTGTAGATAGAAAGAAACAAGCTGTGCTTGGTGGGCCAAGAGCTCCAAGCAAGGGATTCAAATCTGCCTGTCATTCATTCATTCACTCATATCATTCACAGATGTATCAAGTTAGTTCTGTGCACTCATTACAGAACATGAAGTCACAGCTTCCCAGGGCTTAGGACCAGCTCGCTTCCCTAGCACTTAGGTTGTTGCACACTGGTCAGCAGACCTTCGTTTCTAGAATAGAGAATTCTAACTGCTAATTACAGACCTGCTCAACTGAGGGACATAGGACAAAACAAGACTTGCTTATTTTGAAAGTTGCCTTTGAAATTTTAGTTGTACTGTGAAAAAAAAACTGTGGTTGTCACCTGATTATTAATAGCCAAATCAGTACTACCACAGTTTCACAAGTGGAGGAGAAATTAACAAAATGAAGAGCTTGAAGCTTGGACTGAAGAATCAAATGCCTGGATTGAAATCTGGTTCTTCTATCACGTACCTACAGTAAATAACTTCACACTGTATGCCTGGGTGCCTTGTCCATAAATCCTGAATATTTGTAGGATGTCAGCTGGTGTGGGGCACTGTAGACTGTGATGGCACTGGCCCAGCTGTTAAATGCTATTTACAGCTCCCCAGATGTGCAGCTGGGGCAGAACACCGCCCACACTGTTCTGAGAAACGGCCCAAGGCCAGGGGAGGAGGAGGCACCTTCCCAGGTGGCCTCCGAAGATACCTCATCCATGCGGGGCTACTGGCTCCACTCTATGCACAGATGTCAGAAGGAAGTAATGGGGTAGAGTTGCAAATATAACTCTGGACACTCCATAAGCGATAACCATCCTCAGCTTACCCTACAGAGTCAGCTCTGTTCTTTGAAGAGAAAAGCTCTCCCTGCCCAACAAGATCTGTGACTCTGCAGTGGGGTTTTGTAGACTTCTCACAGGCAATGATGACTGAGGAGGCTTTTTGTGTATTTGCGCCTGTCTCTCAAACATACTCAACCAAGCTTACAGGGAAATCCCAAGGTTAGGAATGAGAAAGAGCTTTGGAAATCTAAGTACTATCTATACACAGGTCTTTTTCCAATCCCCACCCTAAAACCTTACTTAGTACTTTAGTTCTTAAGACCTTTCAAAGTGTTCCTGACCAATTCTCTGAATTTTCTTTAGAACAGATGTGCTTGGTTTCTGCCAAGGTTTCACTCACTACATTCTCTGAAGAGCTTCGGTCCCTTCTCGCTTTGAATTCTCCTTCTATCAACCCATTAATCAATCAGAATCTCACTCCTCTTTCCTGGCCCCATTCAAAAGGCATCTCTTCTACAAAGCTTCCTAGCTCCTCCAGGGAATGATCTCATCACTGGAAGCATGCACACCATACTTCTGTGGGGTCATCATTTCCACAGAGCAGCTGATAGCTCTCACAGAGCTGTCACTTCCTTCAAGACAGGGGTCACACTGTCTCCTTATACTCACATACACCCTCACATATACCCTCAAGTAACTAGCCTGATGCATACAGTAAGTGCTGAGTACCTGCTTCACAAAACCAGTGACAGTTGACCCCAATGTTGTCACTTGAGCTGTCCTCTGCCACTAACAACTTCTTGGTGACCTGTCCATACCACCTTGACCCACCTCTACCATGAAGCCCCTCCTGACCACTCCTGCCAGTGTGGCTCTCCTCTCTGAACTCTGTTCCCAGGGGTCATCCTGGACTCAATCACCTAACTCTGCACTGTCTTGTCTGCCATTACACTTTGAGGTTACACTTTGTGTTCATGCACTAAAATCCCTGTGAGTGTGGGCCAGAGGAAATGATGGAAATGAGAGAAAGGAAAGAGAAGAGAAAGATGGGTAGGCAAAAAAAAATATTCACCAAACACTTTACAAATCCTCAGCAGACATCTCTCATTTGGTTCCGTCCAAGAAATGCATTTGTTTTGGAAGACCACGGGCAGAGGTTCGCCTAGAGAGCTGTGTCTATCTGACAGTTACTTTCCTCATCTAACAGCACAGGGTTCCCTGGGAAACACATCCCCTAACTGTGTAAGGGCACAGGCTATGTTTGAGCTCACTTAAGAATGTCCACCTCCTTCCTGGGACGGTAAAGGGAAGAGACCCTTCCCCAGAACAGAGCTCAGGCAGGTGGACACCCTCTCTTGAGCTCTGGGTCTACTGGGCAGGACCAGAGAAAGTGCGGTCAGAGCTAAGAACCTATAGAGTCCTCTTGTGATTTCTGCAGTCCTGGCCCTGGAGTGCCCTTGGGTCATCAGCCTCCCATCAGCTGTGTGAGCCCCAGGCTTCCTTCAGATGCTCAGCATCCCTTTCTAAGAATTATTATTCAATATGCAGAGTACCAGAGTTCAACCTTGGCTACAATGAGAATCCCTGGAGGAGCTTTTAAAATCTCTATGCCAGGGCCATACCCCAACTATACCCACTAGGGCACCAGCCTTTTGTGTAACTCCCCAGAGCATTCCAACATGGCGCCAGGTTGAAAATCACTGCCTGTTTTCTTTGTAAAGGAAGAGAGAGATTTGGAATGCGAGCTCCATATACACTCTTGTTACAGAACCCTGCTTATGGTATTTGCCAATTCTCATTATTCGTGGTAGATATGGTCCATGAAGTCACTATAAAAACTGAATTAGGAAATACTGAAGTGCTATATCTTGGAATAATACAAACTTAAATTGCTTCACCCTCTGGTCACATTTTGACAAAATATCAAATATAACCTTGTGTTATGTGTACTTGTGTCCAAAGACACTTGGTTTAATATTTATTGCTGATTCATTAACACTGAACTTGTGACCAACAGTTGTACTATATATAGAGCTCAGGCCTAACGAAGCTTACCTAACACATACACACACACTTTCTCCCCAGAGTGCATTGCAACCTTCTTAGCAAGGAACTTAGCAAGCAACACTAGACAGCACTTCAGCACTATACTTAGGGATTAGATTGGAAGAGTGAAATCTCAACAAAAAGCACAAATGGCAAAAAAGTAAATAAATAAAGTGGCACAACATAGACTGTGAAAATGATACTTATTTGCAGTATGAGAGCTGAAACAGAAAATCAAGAACATCTCCTCCTTTACCTCAGCTGGAAGCACTCATGTTACCAAAGTCAAAGCTTTTTTTGTTCCTCTATGCACATCTGTGACTGACCACAACAGCCAAGTATTGATTTGGGGGGTTACAAATAACTTTTAGCAGGTAAGCAAATTCTCAGGAATAAAATCCACAAATAATGAGGAATTGAATTTACTAGGGCAAACCCGAATGTCAGTTCCAGGAGGAACAAGATATTTTTTAACACCTTTATTGAGGTATAATTTACACGCCATGAAATTCTCCCATTGTATGTGTACAGCTCTACAGGATTTACTTTCCTTTTTAAACTGTCTCTTCCTTTATGGACATGTAAGATCTTAGAGGAGGAGGAACTTACCTGCCTCAGTGATCTTCAGTTCATAGACTCACATGGTGCACAAGACAGAGCTGACTCAGTAACAAATGCTCATTCCCAGGACACAGTAATTGAGCAGGAGAATCAGAGTCATGCTCAACTGTCTGATCCTCAGCCTGTCACCCACCCACGTTTATACTTCTGTGCACATGTTTTCTCTTCCTGGGACCATCCCAGTGCTGGGCATGTAGTAGGTTATCTCATAAATACTTATTTGATGAACTCATGCTGAAAGCAGCCATAATATTCCGTAACCACAGATGAATGCTTAACACATGTTTTATGAACACAAGTGTAAGAGAACAGGATCTAGGATTCTGACTTAAGGTAAAAAATAAAATAAAATAAAATACTAGATTCCAGTATTTTTCCACCCTATGCTCCTGGCAGTGGCAGCAGAAACCAATTCTAAGATGTGTGTCTTTCCTTGGAAGCAGTTACACTTGCTCCCACTTCAGCCAGATGGTGTCAGTTTCTGTGTCATAGATGAAGACACTAAACTTGGGGAACAGAGAAGTAACCTCCTAAGAACTCACAGTGACACAAGCAGAAAAGGCAGCAGCCAATTTGGTTTCTTATAAACTTGTTCTCAAAACAAATGTAGTGCATAGGTAATACAGCCCATAATATTAGAACAGTAACATAAAATGGACAACAGCAAAAACAGTAACATAAAAAGAACAACAACAAAAATAAAACGTGTACCAAAGGCAAAAAGAATGAGCAAGAAATGAGGCTGATCCGCAAAACATACTCCAGGAAGTCCTATTCATTAGCTAAAGGGGAACAAAAATTTGGCTGTACGGTTTTTCAGTCATCCAAAGGAGGAAAAAGTGATCATATCCTAAATTCATCACAGCAACTAATAAACACAAAAAAGAAGAAAAAGGCACTGGCCAAAAAGTGCAAACCTATAAAAACCACTTTGTGCTTTCAAAGGCCCTGTGGCATCCCAATCTTTATTCTATAACCTTATTCTGACCCCAGACCAGAATCAAATAATTAACAAGCCCCTCTCTGCAGTGTGGGTTGGGTTTGTGCAGCACTGAGGGCTAAAAAATAGGGACTATTAAAAATGTCATTCCAATTATCTCTCATCCCTGTAAGGCTGTTTATAGGAAACATTATTGAGTTTAATAGCATTTTAAATGCCAAGCTCAGTAGGCAAAAGGTTCAAAGTGACAACATGCTAACACACTAATGCAAAGGGAAAACACTAAATTACATGAGTGACCACAAGTCTCTCTCTCTCTTTCTCTCTCTCTTACACACACACACACACACACACACACA